GAATATTCTTTCAAAGTATCTCCACTATCTAAAACGGTTGATTTTTTATCGATTTTCCGACTGTCTCAACTGAACATGAGCACAGAGAGATAAATTGATTAATCAAACAAATATGTGTGTTCATCGCCGTAAAGAAAAAAGTGGGTAATTGTTTCAGCTTGGAAGAATCTGCTCTCATATTTCAATAGTAAGGGCATAAAGCCAATGTGCAAATGAATCTGTTTGGGTTTCAGATCTGTTGTAGGAATTTTCATAGAGATAACTTTTACCTCATGAAAAGTCGTATTGAGGGTTTTGAATCCTTTTTAACTACCAAAAGCACTGCCATTATTTTTCATTTGAAAGCCGGAAATTGAAATATGGTGACGCTTCTTCCTTTCAACACGGGTGTCGACAAGAGTTAATTTAATATTTGTTAGATTCCGGTTAATAGACCAAAATCAAACTCGTTTTTAATTTACAGTCAATAAAAAGGAAAAATCTTTGTTATGTAATGCAAGTGAATTTCCGATTCGGCGTTCACACCATATTGGGTGAACAACTTTTAAGAGCTTAACTTTAATATAGAGTCATAACAATGATTTTGCACAAAAGTGTAATTGTATTGATAAAACATGTTGAGAATGACTAATAATTTTGGGTGTTTTCTACGAAGTATGATCATTTACTGACATGTAAAGTGTTCCAGAAATTCTTGCCAATTAACAGAACAATCGTTGAAAATTTCATTTAGTTTGGAACGGAGAACATTGAGGTGAAAATTATTGTGTAAACAAAAGTGTTAGATTTCTTTATCATCCGTTTGTCCAATCAACACCCGGGTCGGGTTTCCTTATAAAGAAGTTTGAAAAACAACGTGAGTGAATTTCCGGCGATTTGAAAGAGTTTTCACAATTTCAGGGAGATTTTAAATCACATTTTTGTATGGTTTTAATGCATTTTTACTTCATTGTAATTTAGTACAAGAAACGTTCTGCTGCTCTGATAGTTAAAGAAGTTTTCCGTTTCCTTTCGAGCAGAAATCTCCGAGTCGTATTTATAGGTGAGTGACAAATAGTCATTCAACTTTCAAATTCTTTTATTTTGCTTTAGGTATATTACATATTTCACTGCTAACTTCAATATGCTGGATAAAGGATTTCCAGTAGTTGAAATAAGCTACGATGGCATAAACATATGCATGTAGATCGATGAAAATACAGAATTCAAAGGAGGAAAACACTATGATTCTTGTCTGCTGTTCCTAGTGATCAAACTTAAGAAGTCCGTTGTCGTGAAAGCGTCACATTTCATTGTAAAGTTTATCTGATTCTAGTAAATTTTAGTTCACTGTTTGTTGTTTTAACACTGTAAATGACACAATTGCCCTGAAAGATTGGGAGAGAAGCGAACTGACTGATTCGTACCTTCGCTAGGTTCTGTTCTGTACCTTGAAGATTTTTAACAAACATTTCATATTTATTATTAATTCTTTCTGATTAGAATTTCCTCGATTTGCGTTTCAAAGCCATTGAGCAGAAGTCTCATCAGTAGACCTCTTCAGCTTTTATGTTTTGTTTACCAATTTCAGGTCTCAAGGGAATTCCCAACATTGCCTTTTGAAAATTATTCGTACATATGCCTGTACTTAAAGAAAGCTTGAAAGAAACAGTCTAGACTATTATTGCATGACCTGAAATGGGTGAATAAAACATAAAAGCTAAAGAGGTCTATTCTTCAATCCAGCTTGATTAAAAACTGAACACTCTTGCAAAATAAGACAATAAATTTTGACGAAGAAAAATTGGAGGCTAACGCTGTGTTTCTACCGCGCACGATCAGGACAGTGGATTGTGGCCAAACATTTTAACAGTGTTTCCAAGAGTGGGCGTTATTTTGGTTTATATTTTTAGTATGTTCTGAGCACATTTTTATCAATTAGGGATTTATTTTCTGTTTTAAGCGAATATTTTCTTTTGTTCATGCTATGTTGATGCCGTGATCATGCTACACCATTGTCGGCCCTTTACACGGAAGTGAAACAACATAACAAATTCGTAATTAATCCTCGTCATGCGGGTGAACAAAATATATTACATTGATCCATTCAAAACCGCGTTTGTTATAGTTAAGGATCAATGAAAAGTGCGCCCTACAAGTGATCGACCGGTTTCACGCTCGAGGGACCGATGACAAGTCAATATTGCAAACAGCAAACTGTGGAGTGATATTCCCTTTTCCTTCAGAAATATTGAATCCTTAGACAGTTTTAAGAAAGCTGTAAATAACTTTTTTTTATCCACAAAGCTTTTAAATTTTATCTATATACATATTATGTTTCTATATTTCTGTCATTTTTAATGTTTTTTACTTAATAATTAAGTGTAGTTCAATTTTTAATATTGTGATGCATAGTTCAACATTTTATATAGATAATTGCGCAATGTAAGTCAATCAGTTATTATTAGTATCCAGAGCTTCAAGATGCATTCAAGCCCGCGATTTACGAGCCGAATAAGTTGGACAATTAAAGATTACCTATTTCGGGTCGAAAATTATTTTGATAGCAATTCCTTTCGAGCTGTAAATGCAGCTAAATAGTTCATTAACCCTTTAACTCCCGGACCAAATTTGTAATTCTCCTTACTGTCAACCATACAATTCTTATAATGTTAATTCAAAGAATTTAGTATTGGATCAACTAATTATCTCCAAATTGATAGTTTCCTTTACTCTCATTACTTGTCTGGTTGATATTGTATTGGTATTGTAAGGAGAAATTCTGTCTTGGTCACTCCTGGGAGTTAAAGGGTTAATCTGGTTGGGCAGCTTAAATAATATTGCAGTTTGGTCCAAAATTAAACGTGTGAGTCAACGTGGACCGTGCGCGCAGCGTAAAGTTAATGTGGAACCACCAGAATGATTTCCGAGTAAATCACGCAACTTCCTTGAAACTAGATTTCAGCATAAAAATATCTTAGTGTTACGAAAGAGCGATTCGTAGATAGATCACATTATTGAAATCTGAAAAGTGATTAATTGTTTTTGTATGCTGATCCAATTCCATCAACAGAGGCAGAAAAAGATGCAAGTTTATTCCAAAACCCGGTGCGATTCGTGAATAAATCGCACAGTTAAGAGCCTATCAGATTGCAATAATCACTAGTGACTTCAGAATAGATTTCACAAATAAGGGGATTTCTTTATAGTTGGAACTATTTAGTCAGCATTTTTTGACTTTTATAAGTATTCAAACCTGGAAAAAATATCACAAACATGTCTTTGTGTTTGTCTGTCTTTTCTCTCTAGAATGAAAATGAAATTTTTCATCACCATTTGCATTCTCTTGCTCATGGCTGACCTGCCTGGAACAAAAGGGCGTACCTGCAAAATGTGTAAAGTGAATGAGGCGTCTCCTCTTCCGGTTGACCTGCCGCGCTTATGTGGTGATAGCATAAAAAGTGTTTTTGACGAGGTCTGTTCAGTGTCCGTGAGACGAGGACGCAGAAGAGGTAAACATAACCCATAGTAAAATTAATGTTAGTCCATGGTACAGTTTTAGAAACGAACCAGGGAATTTTGGACAAATGAATGTGATCGTGATTTTCTGGTGAACTTTGCTATCATTAGAGTACTGCAGAGGCTTAGAGGGGTGTTACGTAAATCGACGACCCATATCCTCCCCCCATCCCCCCGCCCCGTGATAGATAATGACCTGTACTAAAGGTTTCACGTGTGGGAGTTTGAGTCAGTAGGCAAGTATAAAATATTGGAATAACATCCCTTATAATAATTGTATTCTGAGGTGTACATATATCTAAGAAAGTATAAAAACTTTATTCGAAAACAAGCATTCAGTATGATATGGTAGCTTTGCATTTTGGCATCTTGACCTTAAAATTTCAGGCGACATATTTGCTTTAAAATATTTTCATTTGTTTGCTCATAAGTTAAGCAAACTTTAATCAGTAGGGCATTGTGGTTGTTTTTACTTTGAGGGGATGTATTGAACAAGGAAAAAACTATGGAAGATTTCCTCATTACGTTACCGATAACTTTTAATCTCCCATGCACTGCCAAATCATCCTCTGATAAAGTTTCCCCTTTACCTAGTTAAAAAACTATTTACCGAAGTGAAAGTGGCTTCGCAGCTCGGTAAAATATCTACCGGTAGCCACCGGCTCTAAGGTGAAAAGTTATTTTAGTCTATACTATAACAGTGATAATATGGCGCAACAAATGTTCTTATCTTTTTTTGTTCCTGCAACAGTAACAATACTTTCGGGTGCAAACCTCGCGCAAGTAAATCGGAAATGATTGCCAAAGGATATTCGAAGTTTGAGTAGCCAATCAGAGCGCTTTCAACGTGATTCACTGTTTTAGTATACATCAATTTTTATTGAGGAAAAAAACTGAATTGTTTTCTTTGTCTGCAGATATGAGCACTGATCTGTTTGTTCAAACGAAAAATGAAGCACAAGATTATCTCTCATACCGAAGACGGAAACGGGGGAAAGGAACTAATATCTACGAAGAATGCTGCGGTGAAAGGTGCAGAATAGAAGAAATTAAGGAATATTGTTAAGCCGACGACTCCATAATTTTTATGCGGATAGCTTTGTGTTAAATAATGCCTCTTAGACTTTATGAAAATCAATCTAGATTTGTCGACTGGTCGATCATGCAGTATGGTAGTCTCGCTTTGGTCTCGCCTCGTGCCACGCTCTCGGAGACCTTACTTATTGTAAAGAAATGGTTGTGGTAGAAAATAAATATGATAGATAAAATAAAAAGGACGAGGAGAAACTCAAAGAGACTATTAATTTTTTACTTTATTTTGAGGCCACTAGTGTTCAAGTGTGAGTTCTTGGGCCGTTTGAAAGCTTAGCAATTTTGAAAAATTTGCAGACTGGGGTGCTAAGTTTTCTAATCCGTGGATCTTTCCCTTTCAAACCTTTGTAATTAACAATTGGTTGATACGTCAGCGTGCGTTCATCGAGGTATGAAGCACGCGGGAAACTGGTGCGAAACTTTACTACAAATTTAAGCTTACTGAGCCATCATTCACATTAGAATTAATCTCAGGATACCTTGTAAGGCATTAGTCTTTCCTCAGTTTTAGCTACTTGTCATTTACGATATGTAAAGCTTTAGAGATAGCTATATCCAAACAATATTTACTCGTTTACGTGCGGCGGCTGGCTACAAGCAATTCCTGTTATACAATGTAAATATGGGTATAGAAGAAACGTGTCCAAATGCTTTCCTTTTACGTTTCCCAACCGTCATGTGCTCAATCTTCTTGTTCATCAGTAGTAGCAGCAGTTGAACTCCTTTGTAGAGCAGTACCTGGGCCAGCCTCCAAACACCTGGAAAAAACCAGTGTTACCATGGACATATGATTTTATTCTGGTTGAGGTACGCTTGTTTTTCGTAGAGCAATAAAAAAACTAAAAATAACTACATCCAAGGATCGCAATCGACAATGGAGGCTGTTAGAATGAATGGTTCTCGCAGGCCATATTCTTTAGAGAGTTCCTCTTGAATTATTTTCTATTCAAGAGGTCTGCCCCCCTTCCCCACCCTAAGAATAATTTCACATCTCTTATTCTAGTTGCCTGGATGTTTTGGTAAGGAACGAATAGCCACTAAATGAACGTCCAGGAAGATAAAAGTTACCATACAGGTTTGGTTGTATTTAGCCCTCCTTAAGATTTTGGAACACGAGGAACACAGAACCCATTTAAACTTGAGTCGCTCTCACCATGTTGCCGCGTACAAATGGCTTAAATGTAGTAGCACCCTACTAGTATTCAGGAGGCTTGGGTTTGAACCTCGTGGAAGCCTGAATGCTTTAGCAGTTTTTTTTCGCAATTTGTACCTATGCAGTTCACGTGTGAATATCATCCGTTATCCATTCACTTGTTTCGAAATCTGATAATAGCCTAGCAGGAGTAGCCGTGAAAACATGGGCTGTATTTATGATCCAGTCTTCTGGTTGGATTCTTACTTGAATAAATTAACATCCCAAATACCTGAACATACCTTTGACTTTCAGCAGTGGCTGGCGTTTGCATATTAAGACTAGTGTCCGGTCCCACCACGCAAACGTGACCTTTCATAAAAATCTGGTGATAGTGGATCTCTGTAACAAGAGTTGAAAGTAAAAAGTGGCTATTTAAAAATGTAACTGTAACATTCTCCACGTAGATGTTCTACCTTTTGACTCCCAGAATTGTTAATCATCTAAGCTCCCCATACAATTGATTAATACAGACATACTGTTAATAAGAATAAAGAAAAAATTCAACTAGAAGACGCTGTGTCACGAGATCATACCACATTCTCTGGAATAGCCAGCAAAGGAATTAAATTATGGTTTCGAGTGAGGAGGATGAACTTCTAAATCTTAGAAGTAAAGAGGTAGTTTGAAAACGCAAACGTCTGGCATGATACTGGGAATATTTTTTCACGGCCAATAGCCATATATTCCTATGAAACAACTTGGCATTAGTAAGATATCGCCAATTTTTTATGTCAAAAGATTGGAAGAAGTGCTTGATATGCTAACATCTCTCACTGCCTGGAACATCATGACAATTTTATGTCGAATAGAAGTCGGCCGTCTGCATATCCATTACATTTTTACCGCATATGAAAGGAAGAGTGAAAAACATAACCAGAAAGTAAAAAACCCGAAAGTGTATATCAGTAAAAGAATTCTGATTAACGAGTTTGGCTTTGGGCTTCCGGGTTGATGTCTGAATAGTTCTTTAGTTAGCAAAACTAAAGTGTCTCACCGGTCTTCCCTCGCTGCTCTTTTTGATGTCTCTGTATCACCTCCGAGTGCGATGGATCCATAGCAAAGTTGCTCCCGTCGGAAGTGTCAGCCCTTGAGTCGCCTGCTGCAGGTAGAACCGTCGTTTGATTGGTCTCAGCTGAAAAATTGATGGTGATGAGGAGTCATCTCACTTGCAAATTACTCAGTTATTGGAGTAAATTGTACGAAGTTAGAGTTAATTGATTCAGTCAATTTAATATGATACAGTAAAAGAATTGTCAGTTATTTTGTTGGAATAGATACGGTTTCTTGCATCAGAAGTCATGCAAATTACCGTTGGTCAACGCCAGAACGTGTACCAACCTGCTGTTTCTGAATCAGGCATGCAGGCACCTCCTGCACGCGAGTCTGCAAGGGCTAGGAAATGATCGCTTTCAAGACCAATCGTTTCTGATCCCCATTCGTGGATCAAACGCAGTTTGACATCTGTGCCTGCTTTTGCGAAGCTGCGACATTTAAGGTGACTTTCTGCAATCTTCTCTTTCTTCAGGTCAACCACCTCTTCGCCCAATTCCCTCTCCAGATACTCCAGTGCTTTCCTCACATTCTGCTTTTGAGTCGAATAAAGAGTAACGCGAATTTCTTCCCAGAAGTCATAGTTTCTTTCGACAGCTACAGGCAGAGAAGCGTTTAGAAGTTTGTCTATAACTTCACTGCAGGCCTGGGGTATTGTGATTGTTGATTCAAACGCCCCGATTTTGCGATGATGTCCGTCAATGTGAACATGTGCAACTGCTTCAAGTTTTAAGTCGCCCTCAGACTCTTTGTTGATCCAGAATAGCTGCGAGAAGCGCATTCTTCTCGACAAGAACATTTGGTACTTCAATAAGTCCTTACTTTGAGTGTTGGAAGAATCATTTGGGTCAATCAATTCAAATCTCACAAGCTGTGATGGATCAAATTTGGAAAATTTCAATAGACTCAATGAAAGATTGTGGAAGTCCTGAAGGAAAATTCCTTCATAGGCCTTTGGATCTAACATGATGTCTTTAAGGTAGAGTGAAGCGACTCTTAATCTTTCGCGCAATCTTCGGGGATCTGAGCCTGCAGTTTCAAAGATATCTTCCAACGAATCCAGCATCGTAATAACCATGACAGACCTTCCCCACTCCTGTATCTTTTCATCTGTACTTTGTGATGGATTGTTATTATTTTCATGGCATAACTTCTCAAGAATATTACTTACTTGTATGAAAAGACTTAGTATTTTTTTATCCTTTGCAGCGTTTTGAATCGCTGACGCAATTCTAGTGACCGTCTCCTCATCCAGTCCTCTCATTCCACTTTGTGAAAGTGGGATACTCTCATCTCGGAAGATATCCTTTACGGCTTGAACGAGATGAGGAACCAGCCGAAGAAAATTATCTTTAACAACGTTTTCAGCAGATGAAAACATTGCCTTATATCGCTGGGAAACCTCATTGGAAACAATTCCCTTGGTTACAAGAATATTGGTGTGGTTCTCGATAGAACTTGCCCACTTCATATCTTCCTTTGAATTGGCGATTTCAATGCAACAGTCCCTCAGAATAGATCTGCATAAATTTCTTATCTCATTTTCTAAGTATTTCATCATGTCACGGTCCTCATGATTCAGACCAAGGATCGAAGTCGCCAGTTCTCTCAAATGTGTGATATGCATTTGCCCTCTCTCGTTTATTCTGTATTCTAGCAAATAAATCAAATGATTTATAAAAATATTTAGAGCCAAGCTAATAGCAGTACCAAGTTCGAAATAATACGCTGGCCATTGATTGAATCTCAAACATAAAACGCCGGTGTTTATCCACCGAAAACAATACAATGCTTTTACTTTTTCATACATTTAAACTATTTATGCAGGTTATTGTGGAATGATGAGATGGGATGAAAATGTCATCAGAGAATTGTAATATCTTACACATTTCACAAGCTCTTGGTGTACGAAATCTGTATTTGAAATACTGCAACATCCTACCTTCAGGCCTTAGCCCCTCAAGGGATCTTTTCAGCAAAGCAGGACGGGTTTCGTCCCTTTCCTGCTCTTTCCATCTCTGCAAAAGAGTTTCCAGCTGTTTATCCTCTCTTTGCCACCGAGACACAGCTTGGCTCCACGTTTCCGCTGGCAACTCAAGCCTTTCGTGAATGGGTCGAAGGTTGAAAGCTAGTTCTCCTACTCCCAATAGGCGTCTCAAGTAACAAGATAGATCTATAATAGAAAAGATGATGAGGTAATCTCTTCGTTACGGGAGAAAATACATCGGCTCTTGGAATCATAAACATGAAGTATAATTTAATATAAAAAATTATCACATATCATCAACATTGAACGAACAAATCGAAGAAACTTTACATGCTATTCAATGAAATGTCAAAAGAACATTTGATTGAAGCTTACCTAGTTGACAGAAGTCATCCTCGCGGGTATGCCCATACTGGCCTTCAATTTTGACTTTTCCACATAAAATTTTGGCTTTTGTACATGAACTTTGCAACGGAAACGTAACGCTCTTCCCAGTGCTCCACCATACGGACGAATCAACAGTCACTTCAATGCTACCTCGCTGGTTGTTTGCAAGCTTGTAGTCTTCACCAAGCCGTATTGAGACCACCAGGCGTTCCCCATTGTAAATATAGTTGGTTTCTTCGCGAACGTTAGATCCAAGTTCTTCAAACCCATCTCTCTTAAGTTTCTCTAGAACACATTCATCGTGCTCTCGGTAATATCGCTCTTGGTAGACATCCTGGCTCATTAAAGCGAGACTGACCTCCTCGAAAGGATCATTTTCAAGATTGCTTCTGTACAGTACCGACAACGTATATTTGAATGGCATGATGTTGAGCCGCGTCACTATTTCTCTCAATTGAACCCAAATTGATCTCAAAAGGACAGCAATTATCGAAAACCCATTAATTTCAGTGGTAACTACCCCATTTACCAAGTCAAACCTTGATTGATCAGTAATAGTTTCCCAAAAAATGTTTCTATCTGTGGCTTGTTTGCCGTGTAGAACAAGCCACTCATTATACGGGCCTTTGTTTTTGTCTAAGGTGATTTTCAAAGTCAAAGATTTGTTAAATTTTAGACCATTTGGTTGCAAATTAATTACGTTTGCGCCAAAACTGAGATCGTTTTCTAGTCCCCTCTGAAATATCAGCCTATAGTGCTTGCAGGGATCTTCCAATGCAAGCGTAATAGTTTCAGGATCGTCAAGAGCTCCAGAAGGCCAAAACAGTTCGACGCCTTCCACCTTCAGTGATCCACCCTCTCTGGACACAAGAGCAGACTCTACCCTGCCTGAACTATCTTTTCTCGTCCCCGTGGACGGAAAGTTAGGAAACCGGAAGTCTCTTCTGGAATCAAAACCGGAATCTTCCTAGGGTGATAGTTTAAGAGTAGGATTTTAGCATTTTTCGATGTAACTTTAGCTGTAACTTTACTGTAAGCTTAAATCTCGCTAGTTCTTATAATTCTATTTATATGAAAGCTTATTTGTCGTTTCTTTTCATGTATTTTTGTTCATAATAAACATTATGATCGAATTTGATTTAATTTCTGATTAGAAGTGGAATGACTTCCTCGGGTTCACGCGGAGGGCTCAATCAGACACACAAGTGCAATGGCTTGCTAAGATATTTTGGCTAACCACTGTGATCGATACAATGGACCCTCTAGGAAACGGCCTGTTGAGGACACAAGATCATGGCCGTCTGATTGAAAGTTGATTAATCGAGCGCCATATTCTTATTGAAACAGAGGCACATTCTGTCCACCGTTAGATTAATCAAAAGTAAGCTTGATTATCACAGGACCGTCCAGACCATTTGAGGGGGTACTTCATTTACCTTAAGTGATCCAACACCGCTTGAAGCAACTACAGAGGACGTACTTTCCGTAAGTATTCCAAGGATGTCATTCGAAGGACATGTCTGAAATGAGACATAACGGACAGAGACGTACATTTTGTTAGAATTAGATGTAGCGAGTCACTGAGTAGCAATATCTAGAGGTATCTCAATATTTTAATAGATCTAGGTTTACAACAGGTTCGGCACTCCTCATAAGTTTATTGTAGTTGTGGTTTGTGTTTCTACTCTTGTGTGGTTTGAACTTGAAATTCTTATCTGTCAATGCTGAGCTTGATAAGGGTCAAAACTGCTGTCTATGTTACCTTAGGCGGAATGGTGGGACTGGGGCGCTTGAAGGTGGAAAGTTCGAAGCTGCTATTCCACAGTTCTCCGAATTTTTCTCTTCGTAACCTATGTATTTTTTTCCCCTTACCTGTCTTACTGTCTTACTGTTTGGGGGAGAGGGGGGGCTCGAAATAACACACGCATCAAGTCCTCCTTTATAATCTGTTTGCAACCACTGTACCCTCTTCCCCCCGTTTCCCCGAAAATCGAGTCATCCTTCCAAAATCTTCCAGCCTCGCCTCCCCCCCCGGCGATAAATCAGCGACTGGTCCCCTTGTTTGCATGTAAACAAGAAAAAAGGCATTGTACAGGTAGAGAGAGAAAATTTTTACCTCAACTTTTGACTCTGATGGTGGATCGGATGTGTCCTGTATCTGCCAAGTTACTGGTGTAACACTTTGAGGGGTATAGAAATAATTCCCTGAACTTGTTTCTAACGAGTCTTCATGGCTGGACTCTCCCGTCTGGGGAAAAGAAGTGTCTTGTTTAGTTGAGGATTTTAAATACATTATCAACGTTTGTGCAAAATGCTTAGGGGAAGGAGGGAGGGAGGGGGGAGTAGTTAAATAAAGCTTGACAAAGGGAATTCAAATGAATACTGATTGGATAGACGAACACAACCCAAACCTATCGAGATATTCTCTTAGTGTAAGGGGTAAGGGGAAATATCAGCAGGATTACACGCAGCGTACATCTCTCTTCAACTATCGCAGGGAAAGACAGCGGCCTAATGGTTGAGAGGTCTGGGCTCGAGAGCTTGCCGGGTCAATGTGCTATGTTCTTGGACAAAACACATTACTCTCACCATGCCTCTCTCTACACAAGAGTATAAATAGGTACCTGCGAATTGTTGGAAGCCTGACGAAATGCGGGGGGGGGGGGGGATGTAACCTTACGATGAACTAACATCCCGGCCAGAGGGGAGCAATAATACTCCTAGTCACTTCATGCTACATGGAAACAGGGATAACCTCTGCATCGCTGGGTGTGCAAATTTGTTCGAATACAAATTTTACCTTTTAACCTATCACAAGTGAAGATTTTATCAAGAACCTTTACAAGTTTAGACAGTATGACACAGCGGTATGTTGAGTGGCATTTCTGTAAACGACACTCGCCTAACACGGAATATTCCTCTGATGATGTGCTGTTTTGACCCCACTCTTCCAGATACAAACCCCGTGATGTAAATACATAAACAAATAAATGCATGACTAATTATTCCTTAGTCCTTATTCATCGCCTTAATGGGGTGGGGGGGGGGGTGGATTTTAGGGGGATCACATAAGTTTCAGGGAGAACGAAGGGGGAATCAGTCACCAATAAAGTATAGAGGGGGGACTAAAGAAAGTTGATGACCAATTAATTGCCAATGGGGGGGGGGGAGGGAAATTGTTAGAACATTACAGAGCCTTATGGGGAATCAGGTAAATTTTATCGTGAAATAACCAAAAGCCTCCGATTCTCCCCCCTCCCCCCCCCCCAACCGGTGATAATAATTGACCGACCCCTAAGTAGCAAGCAACGAGTTTTCACCTCATTTCGTGGAGCGTTAGGTCTGCCGGGTGTCCGCTTTATTGCTGATGAAAAACACCTCGGAAAAAGGCATTCATCCTCCAGACTAAAATCTGACAAGTCTTCATAGAACCCCCTCGTCTGGGGGTAAGGACTGTTCTGTTTAGTTGAAATGGTTGCAGTGGGTGGGGAATTTTCTTCAAGTAAGGGCTTCACGTAAGGACTGTCCTGCTACAAACGCAAATAATTGTTGTTTGTTTTATTTTTGCGCACTGGTAGCGATTTAAGGCCGCTTAAGTTATGTCGTTGAATTAATCCAGCGAGAATTTCAAATGAACATGCAGAAATATTTTTAAAAAAGCCATTGTTAGCTTCGGCCAATGAGACTGTAGAAAGAAAACAACGCTCTCGCTGGATTCTGCCACGACGGCACGACTACTATGGAATATTTTTCGATAAATTTGAAGGAAAACTATCGGGCTCTCATAATCCTGAATAAGGAGGCAAGGAGACGCGCTTTTGACTGAGAATCGAGCGATTTTTGAGAGTGGGTCAGTCCGTTGGTATGATGAAGCCTTCTTTTCCCCCTGCGTAGTACAGGAAGTCGTGGGAAGAATGCTCAGCTAAAAAAAGCGACGAATTGGCCTGAAATCGCCATCAGTGAACAAAAATAACATAAACAACACCACATGAAGGTCTGGTTTACTTCCTTCATTATTTACGGAGTTACAGAGCGGAGCCTAACCTCCCTTAAAAGCCTTATAATATTAGCCTGTCATAGAGAGTTTGGACTTCCTGTGGTATCATGCTGAATTAATTTATATGCTGATGACACGTGAGTAACAGCCGAGAGAATGTGGTTTGCACTGATAAGTCAGCATTCTCAGAAAGTCTGTCGCTCACCTACTAACTTTCTCCCGTGCTAATTGTTATTTGGAGTCATGTCGTTTGTAGCTCTTATCGCATGGAGCGCCTCGAAAGCAACGAAAGCGAAGAGTACGCAACACGTAACAAATTGGAAATGACAAACAGAGATGTTTTGTTTTGCAGCATTTCTACTCTGTAACGGAAATACCAATCGGCTTTCCAAAACTGCGGAATACAAGATATACTTACGTTGTTTGCTGCGCCACAGCACGTGATAATAATTCCCATGTTATCGTTTAACTGTAGTAACGGATGGTTGGATCAACTTCCGCACCATAAAGAGGTGCTCGGGCTCCACCAGCTGTTTCGACAGAGCAGAAATCACAAGCCAACGATTTCTTTCCTCTCCGACGTCTTTAAAGAAATTCGGCTACAAATAGACCTGAGATCTTATAACCGAGTCACAGATCCATCAAAAGCGAGTTCCAACACAGTACGTCGTTGTTCTGTCGACTTACGGAATGTGCTTAGAAATCAGTGTGAGCAAAACCAGTCGGGGGTGGTGAGTGAAAAATTGTCAACGTCATCAAAAGGCTTGGCTCCCTAATTGAGCCTGGTGTCTAAGCTCCTTCAGAAAGTGATCCCAAAAAAAATTCATGCTATTGAAATTGTCGCCTATTGCAATATGACGGACTCTTCCAGTTACACCATTTGCGATTCACCAACAGTCAAGCAAAGTGACTGAACTAGACATGGACGATATAACATGCTTTACATGTGAAAAATACATTGTTGAGTTTAAATCGAGGAAATTTGGCTAAATTTTTTATGAATAGTATCGCCACTAGAATGCCCTTGTCATATTGCTACTGCTTGGAAAGATCCCCAAGATGAAATTTCTATTGTCTTGTACCTCTAGCCGGTAGGATCTCAGGAGGCTCAGAAAATGCTACCGGCTGGAGGTACAGCTTGCATATCTAGTCAACTTTGCCCAATTGTTACAACGGATTGCGTTGCATTTTACTTTTTCTGCACTCCAAATTAGTCTTACACTCCTTTGAATCACTTTTTTCAAGAAGACGTAAACATTTATTTATTTTTATTAGGTCTTGAACCTCTAGCTGGTAGGATCTGAAGGAGCTTGTTAAATACTACCTGCTGAAGGTACAGCTTGCATACTTAGTTGACTTTGCCCAATTTTTTTTACGGTTTGCTCCACATTTTACTTTTCTGCACTCAAAATTAGTCTTACACTCCTTGGAATCACTCTTTACAAGAGTACATTTACATTTGTCGTCGTTGTTGTTGTTGTTGTTTTTAAATTTGGTCTTCTACCTCTAGCTGGTAGGATCTTGAGAGGCTTAGAAAATACTACCAGCTAGAGGTACTGGCTAGAGGTACTTGCATATTTAATTGAATTTGCTAAATTTTGTATCACAGTTTGCTTTGAATTTTACTTTTTGGCATTCAATCTAGTCTTCCACTTGTTTCTTGGTTGTGTACCTCTAGCTGGTAGGATCTTAGGCGGCTTTGAAAATGCTACAGGCTAGAGGTAATTCCTGCATTTAAGGTGAATTTAGCTAATTTCATTTACTTCTTGACATATGGAAAAACCTTTCTACATTCCATGTTAGTCTTGTACTGTTGTAGAGTCACTCCCTGGGTATATTTGTATGCTTTGCACTCTTGTTTATCTGGCTAGTAAGAGCTTGGATTACTCAGAAAACACTACCAGCCAGAGGGGCAGCTTATGTATGTGAAGTAAGCTTGAAATCATTGTCATTGTTATGTTTTAATGAATTTCAAATTAATGAATTTTAAACTAGCTTGATTAGTATTTTCTTTGGTTGTGGGTTTATTTCAGTACAAATATTACCGGTTTTAGATGAATTTTACTTGAAATTCATTTTAGACTTGAACATGTCAACCAGATTTACTGAAGTTTGTCATATAATACTCTGCTTAAGTACAAGTGGAATTTCTTAGAGAGGAACAGTCTCTATTTTCATGATATTTGTGTTTGATTAGAAGTAGTGTGGACAAGGCCAACCATTGTCTGAAATACTAAAATCAAGTCATATTTAGGTAGTTATTGGATAACATGATTTAAATTCACCAATATGACATTTTCCCTTTGTATTTTCAATGATATTTAACCCTTTCACTCCCACAAGTGACCAAGACAGAATTTCTTCCTACAATATCAATACAATATCAAGCAGGCAGGTGATGAGAATAGAGAAGAATATCAATCATGGGATTATTAGTTGATTCAATACCAAATTCTCTGAACTAACATCATAAGAATTGTATGGCAGATAGTAAGGAGAATTACTAATTAGATATTGGGAGTGAAAGGGTCAACAGCATGTATTACTGTATGAAAA